GCCATCCCTCTTGTCTCACAGTCTTGGGATAAATTGTTCTCACGCTGATCCTTCAAGCATACAAGTACGTCTAAATGAGAAATAGATGAGAGATTTCAGCGGTTTCTTCTATTTCTATTTCAGGTAAATGTACTTAGCAGTATGAAAGAAATTGAAACCTTCATTCTTTTTAAAATATTGCTGTAAATTATTTATTCTTGAGCATCAAGGTGTAGACGGCTTAGGAATGCGTAGGAACTAAGTAGGTTAACGTGAAAAGAACTTCTCTCTTGGTAGCATTGCTATCCTGACGTTGTATACGTGATATCACCTTAGTATACAAATCAATTTCACATATATCATTAGTTTACGTTGTGAAACATAATTCATCAAGATCGAGTTTCGGGTAAAAGAACAGAACCAACATCTGCATTTGTGATTGGTTCAAGCATGCATATGTATTGGTTATGAATAATAGAAGCGTCAAGAACCTTTTCATATGCGTACATGTCATTTTAAGTCGATTTACCATTACCGCTCTATCATGAGCATGTGTTTAGGAATCCCTAACTAATGCCAGGTTTTCGCAAAAAGGTGAACAATTCACCATGGCTCAGACAAGGACTTGTGACGGAATGTGTCGCAAGATGCGTCTTATTATTCTCGGAGACTGACGTGATCGACCACCAGTAAGCGTCTTGTTGATTCCAAATCATGACAAATCATTATGACTATTTAAGTCTTGGCGTTGACGGCAGCACGTTACCAGGTAATTGGCGTGTTGACGTGTCCTCTGGTGCTGGCAAGGCGAGAAAGACAGGACAGAGCAACACAAGAAGAAACAGATAGTGAATGAAAGTATGCAGACTCAAACCGGAAGTGTGAAAGAAAAGAGAACCTTTTATACAAAAGGATGAGAGTTCACAGCAAGAGAAACAGTATCAGCAAATGTTGAGACAACGATAGGCAAAGTAGAAATTAAACAACTCTTTGTATGCAATTAAGATCGCAAGGATTGAAAGAAAGAGCCAATACAGATTAAACTGAATGATATATGAAGACAGAGAAAATGATATTAATAAATACCAATACCGATTGTGTAAGATAAATAAGGGATGTACATATTTAGAGTATTTCTCTCAACTGTGATGAAATGAAAGGAAGGGCTTTGGGTTATTTCTTAACTATTAGACCATATATGGACCAAAGTAGTGTAACAATGAAACTTGCCGTCTTCCTGTCGTGCATTATCGCTTGGTCTATTGAATAGCAGAGACGATTATGTGATTGTATATGCCGCCATTGTCCGTTGCTTTTAGTAACCTTGATTTCTACATAGAAATTCCATTTGCGCTAAATAATGGAGTTAAGCAGGAGAATCAGGATATATTGCTGTGTGATTATTTGAACTAAATATATGACACTAAAGTCACTGGTCGGAACATTGGAAGAGTCAAACAAAAATTCACCACAGTTTCAAAACATGTCAGAATAGCGCATTATGAGCGACCATTAACGGCCGTGTTTTCATTCGTTCCCCATACCTTTTACGTCAAAGGAGGACCGGAGTATTTAAGTCTTAAAAGGTTTTATAAAAACAAATAAAATTACCAAATGGAACAGAATGAATTACGTTCACGGTGATTGAGGTGAGTTTGAGCGCGAGGCTTGCTCAAACATTTACCAAATCAACAAGGTCTGTTTGCCAACACGTTAGAAGGTCTTCTAATCCAGTAGGGCTTCACTTTGGCCATAAGTTCCAAATAGCAAGTAAACTATTGTCTGACCTTGTGAAACATGTCAAAGAATTGAGTCAATGGTTCTCGTCTCTAAGATGCAGTTACCACACGCTATCCGGATTCCGTTGTAGATGAAAATCAAATCAGTAACAAATTGTGATTTTATATGATTATAATTTACACCTAGAGAGTTTAAAGTTAAGATAACAGGACATTGTTGTATACGTCTTTATCCAAAGCAATTTTATGAAATACCTTGTCCTCATAGCTTGCACGAAACCTTATTCTTCCAGTACATTCTTTGCATATTAAGTCACATGCAGACGGACTATCATCTGTCGTTGTGCAAATATTGGCCAGAACAGGCCTTAAGAACGGCGATCTATCCCTCGCGGTGGTTTCCGCAGGAAAGGGGGTCCTTTGTCGACTTGCGCAACTATGCGTTCGATTAATTAGCTTCTTACTTCACTTTTCCCCAGAAGGATATATAAAAATTGACGATGGCTGGCAATCTATTGTCCCATAATCCGCCTCTTTGAGCCGCTGGGTATTTTTGATTCAACCTAGATGCCCGGATGAACTTCTTGGAGACTTGAGTTGTTAACGCTAGATGGCGCCAGCTTAAATCGGTGAAGATGTGTAGAAGTGTTTTGCCGCGCAGTCAGCCGAGTAATCACTATATACAGAGTGCGCTGCTGCTTTGTAACCGTTGCAAAGCGACCTCAGTATACGTCTGTGTGTGGTGTATGTTCCGCACTCAGTGTTAATAGTTTGGAATGTACGTCTTAAGCGTATTGTGTCTTTGTGAGCCATATTCATCACCTAATGATTAGCTATATGTGTATGCACCTTGAAATCCTTCTCAGCAACAGTGACGCCAGGAAGACCATTGGACCATTTCGAATCGTCCGTAGTTCGCGACAAACGGAGTGGTGGCATTGTATTTGGAGGTCTCAATCCTGCTGGACTCTCTGAATCCGAGTATGAGCATATATACTGTAACGTTCAATCGATTAAATCTTCTGGGAAAGCTATATCATTTCCTCAACAACAAAAAACAAAGCAAAAAAAAACATATTAAGGTGTTTTTTTACGTTAATACGATCAAGTTTAGACTTGTGTTTTTTACAGAGCCTCATCATATAGGTTGATTAAACTTAAAGCGACATTCAACGACAAAAGAATTTGAATATATGGATTGAATGTAATGAAATTCCCAACCTTGCTTATCTCTGTGGTTCCGAGTGTGATCATTCACATTGTGAAGTGCATTCAGTCGTTTATTGTTATGGGATTGTTATATCATTTTACGATCTAACGACAAACAAAAGTTGTTTTTTCAGTAACGCTAATGCGATGTAATCCTGTAGATGAAAAATGACGAAGATAAAGATAACTAAAACCGCAAATAAATAGCAGAGGCCGTGTTGATTAGGTTTCTCTCATGACGGAACAGAATTTACTTTTATAGCCGTGTGACGCTTCCTTTACTGCTACTTTTACACAACAATAAAACCATGTTAATTACTGCATCATCTCACATGAATAGAAATTACTTTTATGCCAGACTAATATGTAATAAAATAACAATCCCGCGTTTTTGGATCGATTATTCGTCCACATGACTCTAATTGAATTTCTTTGTTCACGAATTAGATGAGAAATCAGATTATAAGAAAAACATTGCAGCAGACCTTCTACAAGTTTTGAATACAAAGAAGGTGATCACAACGACAGCGGTGCAAGCTCATCAGTATAATAGAGTATTATTAAAAAATGTTTTACACGTGATTGATGTCCTATGGAAAGCACTGGGGGAACGCAAGAAAACAAGTTAATGTAGTACACAGGTGAATGTATTTTATGTATGTCTACAGCGGTGGGCGTTGTTATTGCTCCTTTGTTGTAGACGTTTAACAACATTTTGCACAATGGTATAAACAACATAGAGACAAATACCACAGACCAAGGTGTGTTCTGTTAACATTGTACACACATTTTCAGTTTGCAGGTCGATGATACATTCATCATTCTGTGCTTAGTCGTCCGTGTTAATTCCAACATGCACTCAAATGAGACTCAAGGTACCTGACACACTGATGAAGTCATATGTACATACACTTGTGCATTTAAGCGTGAGTGTCCTCTTCATTCAGAATGGGATGCGATCGACTGAGCGCATTTAGAAGTAGAAGTCAGCAAATACGGTGCTGTGTTATTAGCGATGAGCACATCAGTTCATTGTAAAATTAATTATTTTGATGTGTGTGTCAACTAGTTCCGTACAAAACCATTTACACATGTTGTAAAGTTACAAAGCTTTTCATAGACACTTATATTGGTTGTATACGGGTTCATTATACTAGTGTTGCTGTCATTAACTATTAACAGTATGGGTTGCTTGGAAACACACCCCACATGAATGAAAATGCTAAATCCTTCTATTTTTTGTTGTCTTTTTAACAGCGTATTAAAATTGTTGCATGTTCTACTCCTCAAGAGTGTTGTAACTATTTTTTGTAGCAACTTTTTTGCAAGACTATCTTAGATCCATATGTTGTATTATATAGTAAACGTTTACTACTACTACTACTACTACTGCTGCTGCTGCTTCTGCTACTACTACCGAACAATCCAGTGATCAACAGCATGAGCATCGATCTACGCCCAATCCAGTGATCAACAACATGAGCGTAAATCAATGCACATGCTGTTGACCACTGGATTGTCTGGTCGAGATTCGATTATAGCTGGAATATTGCTGAGTGCAGCGTAACAGTAACTTCAAAAACTACTTTTACTACTCAATTACTTTTACTACTACTACTACTACTACTACTACTACTACTACTACTACTACTACCACTACCACTACCACTACCACTACCACTACTACTACTACTACTACTACTGCTGCTGCTGCTGCTACTACTAGTACTACCGGTACCTCCTGATTATGCAGCCCAAACTGCCAGTGAGTCGCTGGAAAGTTCACAGTCCCGCCTATTTCATACTACCGGGTACCCATTCACAATCCTTGTGCAATCGCCATTGTTTTATTTCCGTATTATTGCTTAAGTTTGTATTTACAACTGATGTACTATAAAAACTTTAAAGAATCAATGAACTCAAGACTAGACGTTGATATCATGGTGTTTACATCAGGTGCTGTTGGTGAATGAGCAGCCCATGTCTGGCAAAACATTTGTTTGGGTTTTTTTTACTTTTTTCAGTAGCGTCCGTCCTACCATTTTTATTGAATGCATTTTCTTCCTATTCCAGCAACCTTCAACAAACATGTCCTCAAGCCAAGGTGTGATATTTGTTCTGGCTGGATTTGCTCTTCTCGCATTGGTCAACGCAGAGGCTTTGGACGATAACACAGCAGCAAGTCTATACAAGGTTAGTAAAAGGCTCATTGTTGGGAAATGGAAACGGTGTGTGAGTGAGTGGGTGCTTTTGCTATTCGGGTGGATCAGAAGTTCAGTTATATTACGGCATGTCAGCTGGAAAACTAGAATCATGTCAAATCCGAGATTTCAGCCCACGGTCATGGACTTCTGTCACCTTTGTAACGACGCAACTGGGCAATTAGGCCAGTCCTACCATGACGTTGATAAATTGCGTGCGTGCGTGAGTGCATGCGTGTGTGTGCGTGTGCGTGCGTGTGTGCATGCGTGCGTGTGTTGAGGTGTTGACAGAGAGAGTAGGTAGAGATTTCATGCAGAGAAAAAAGATACGAGGACAGGACAGTTAATAGTTTGTGGGTTAATGCCACACTAGGTAAGTATGTGAGTGTGTGAGTTTAGTTTAACGCCGCTTTTAGCAATATTCCAGCAATATCACGGCGGGGGACACCAGACATGGGCTTCACATATTGTACCCATGTGGGGATTCGAACCCGGCTCTTCGGCGTGACGATCGAACGCTTTAACCACTAGGCTACCCCGTGCCCCCGTCAATATGTGAAATAATTAGCCTACCTCAAAGACATATGATAATATGACTTCACATTTCAGCTACTACAACCAGCCTATGAATCCTCGGCTCCAGAGAAGCGGGAGAGTGACCTGAACATTGCTTTCGATGCCCCACCCGATCCAAACTGGACCGCAGGCCCATCAACCTACGGCTTCGGGTCCCTACTGAGAAGGGCACCCGCAGGCTACAGGAGGAACCTGATCGAAGACAAGCGTTTTGGATACGTTGGCAGCAGGGGCAAGAGGACGCAACTGGGATTCGGATACGTTGGAAGCAGAGGAAAACGCACTAATCACGCCGCCGCCTTTGTTACGTTAAGAGATCTTTTGGATATGTACGAAGACCGAGCTAGAGCATTACCCTTCCGATCAGCTGATCTCAACAGCCTCAGCCAAGGTGAGTCGTGTTCTCATTCCTTTCGCGAGGCAGGAAACACAGCAGTATAGCCCCTATGTGTTATGTGGTCTCACCTTAGGCAAGTGAGTTTGTTCATGAATCACCTCTGTGAATGGGTACCCGGTGGATAAATCAGATTACTGTTAACCATCTAGCGCCTCACAGGTTATCCGGGGTAACAATATGTTAGCGCTTAAGCAAGCACAAGTGCGTGTGAACAGACGCTTTATAGATAGCCATTGTATTATTATGTTATATTTGTTTCTTAAACATATCTATGTGTGTATTTATTATAAATTGATGTATACAATTTGTACAATTTATTACACGATTCAGGAATTAAACCTCTTTAACTCGAATTCATGGGACTCTCGAAAATGCATACTATCCGCAGACCAGGACAGTAACCCAAGGCCCACTGACTACCAAAGCTTTATTTCGTCCGGTTCGGATGGCACGATGTTAGCAATAGCCGTCCTTTAAATCACACTTACAGGTGCAGCACTTGCTGAATAGAGAGATAGACGAGATACGCCCCATCCTAAACGAAGTTTTGATTGCAAATTAATCCTGGGTAGTAATCGCAATATTATTGATGCATAATTTACTGGATCATCGAGCATGAGATAAGGGACGATATTTCACAATGTTAAAGAACAAGAATGCTACTGCCATAAAGGCATCCATGAAACAGATATAGTTTCAGTTCACGAGACTAAAGAATTTCCAGTTGAAAAATGTGTAACAGGAGTGAGTGAGTTGGGGTTTAGGAATATTCCAGCAGGGGACGTCACAAATGTACTTTTAGCGATTTGGGGAAACGATCTCAGTCCTACGGCGTGACTAGCGGACTCTTAACCAATCGGCTACCCCATCCCAGGTTAAGGGACTTCGAGTTGACGTTGTTAATGCACAATTTGAGTTGACAAGGATAAAACAGTTTGAGTTGACGAGGTCAAAGGACTTCGAGTTTACGAGGTTAAGTGAGTTTGAGTTGACAAGGGTAAAACAGTTTGAGTTGACGAGGTCAAACGACTTCGAGTTGACGAGGTTAAGTGAGTTTGAGTTCACAAGGGTAAAACAGTTTGAGTTGACGAGGTCAAAGGACTTCGAGTTGACGAGGTCAAAGGACTTCGAATTGACGAGGACTTCGAGTTGACGAGGTCAAAGGACTTCGAGTTGACGAGGTCAAAGGACTTCGAGTTGACGAGGTGAAGTGAGTTTGAGTTGACAAGGGTAAAACAGTTTGAGTTGACGAGGTCAAAGGACTTCGAGTTGACGAGGTCAAAGGACTTCGAAAAGGTTAAGGTTAAAGGATTATGAGCGACATTTCACGACAAAGAACTACATACTGGCTATCGCGGTTCTATATTAGAGATTAGTTTGCATCGTGTTCCGTTATGACATTAAGCTTCAAAAGATGTACCCATGCAGATTACTATGTGGCCTTATTGTAGCAATTCTCGTGAAGAGAGCAACCCTCTAAAGTGAATGCTTCTTTTTCAGATTCCACTTTGCTCAACAGTAAACGACAGCCACACTTCGGATTCCACGGTGTAAGAGGTTGAACGTAAGTATATCATTCGTAACATTACGTCATTCACGAGTCGCCGAGATATAGCTGGGGTTTTCCTGATTGAGGCGTTAAACAACGTACCAAACATTGTGCGTCTGACCTCCAGTCTGGCAGTTGTAGATAATAGCCGCAAACAATTCAGACACTTACACAAGAAAACAATAAAGAGGGGGAAAAAACAACTTATGAATCAGACATCACTAAAAAAACCAAACTATTAATAACCCCGAATATATTTTGTTCATGGAACCGAAATCTTTGGAGATTTTGGAGTGAGAGTATTTGAAACAAATTTTATATGTTTAGCAATAATTCTATTTGTGGGGAGGAACATTGCAGCCGGGTAGTCAATGATATACATGTTTAATTCTTTCTTTTCTTAATTAGTGTTTAGTCATGATTCTTTAACACATGCTCCGTCACACCTGATCTTGTCAATCCTTGGATGGTCTGGTCCAGACTCGAGTATTTACATACCGCGTCGTACAGCTGTAATACTGCTGAAAGGGGAATCAAACAAACATATACTCATGATATAGTCGGAATTGTACAATAGACTCTGCTTTTAGCAGATAGTTCTTACGGATGTGGAAAGGGTTGTGTCGTTTCTATTCAACCACATGTTCTGACACCCCGTTTCTTTTTCAGATACCCACGCCTAGTGTGAGTGGAACTTTGATGCTGAAACTGACAACATACCTGTAAATGGAATGCAGTGTTTTGACTGAACGCGGAATTACAAGTGGAACTGCTTTACCACACACGGGATATTACCATACAACAGAGGACACGTGACAAAAAAATGAACAATTTTTTCAGGATTCGTCACAAGATAAACAGTCTCTTGAGTGACATTCATTACAATACGAAACATAGGACCGTCAACCGTACACACCTTCTAAGGTTACTCTCATTTACTGTAAATAAACATCCGTGAAAGAAATGTTTTGTTGGTGCATCACGTGAAATGAGGCATATGGCACGTGGCAAACAAGCACTTCCGTCCGGGGATACCGACAAATTCCTTCAGCTAACTGATAAGAAAGAACTATCTCGCTCTGCGTGTGTCCACCTGGGAGAGAGAGCCACTTTACCAAGGAACTCAACTTTATGAAGTGTGATATTTGAGAATAGACATTGTACAGAGATTATAATGTTCATTTCCTTTTGCATTCCTCGTTTGTATCACAATGTAGGTTGTCTGATAGAGATTGTCCATTATATCAATCCAGAGTTATACGTTTCCCTATTTTCATAATGATTTGTTTGTTATTTCGTTTGCTTGTTAGAATTCTTTTTGTATGAAAATATCAGAAGCATTGGAAATGTTGTTTTTTTGTTTATTTATTTAATGCCAGATTCATGAATACACACCGTCAGATCCTGCCTTGAAACGTAACGCATGAATAGTTCATATGACACATAAAAGATTTGAAATTGCGAATCATATTTCGATTCCTACTTGTTTCTCAGATACCCCTTAAACAACGTTTCTGGCGGTGTGCATTCTGTTGAGAGCTACGGATGATTCTATGCTTGTACATTTCACTACATATCTCGTGATATATCCGTTTTCTCCTATTTTTGTCTCTGCAAATAGAAAATATTTTAAAATAAATTTGTCTTCAAAACTAATCGTCCGTGCTCCTCTGTGGTAAATAAAAATCTAAGAGTTGCACACAGAAACCCTGTTCTATATTCTATGGGCGAAACACGAAGAATGTAGACGACACACTGGTATATGGAAACCTGCTCTATATTGCAGGAAGTGTGTTGTTAATTGCACCATACCGCCACACTGGTGTATGGAAACCTGCTCTATATTGCAGGAAGTGTGTTGACAATTGCACCATACCGCCACACTGGTGTATGAAAACCTGCTCTATATTGCAGGAAATGTGTTGATAATTGCACCATACAGCCACACTGGTGTATGGAAACCTGCTCTATATTGCAGGAAGTGTGTTGATAATTGCACCATACAGCCACACTGGTGTATGAAAACCTGCTCTATATTGCAGGAAGTGTGTTGATAATTGCACCATACAGCCACACTGGTGTATGAAAACCTGCTCTATATTGCAGGAAGTGTGTTGATAATTGCACCATACAGCCACACTGGTGTATGGAAACCTGTTCTATTGTTCTATTCTGCGTTGTAAACAGGGATGTTAGTTGATGGCTGCACCATACAGCCACTCTTGAGTACGGAAACCTGTTTTGCTCTACGTTGTGGACGGGACATTAGTTGATGGTTGTTCGAGACAGACACATTGCTGCACATAAACTTGTCTTTGAATGGCATTGAGAAGTGATATACCAAATTGAGGACATGTATTGATATAAAACTTCTTTCTTATGATGACCGCAGTTCGGAGTATATGCTTCCTCTTTGTCACTTGATAAATGTTAAGTATATATTCCAAAAGGCGTCGTTCCTAACAAGAAAGCAGATGAGATCCAGTGGATGGTAACACGACACACATACATACACATACAAAAACATATACTCTGTTCTGTAATACAGCTTATACTAGAAGTATATTGAAGGTAACTCGACTTTTATATACCGATTTGCATAAACCGTGTATTGATATACATGGCATACAAGAGAGTGTTGATGGCAGCTCGACGCATTAATACTGGTTCACATAAACCTCGTCCTGATATCCATGGCATGCAGGAAGTATGTTGATGGTAGCTCGACACACATATACTGGTTTACATGAACCTTGTTCTAATAATCATGATATACAGGAAGTATGTTGATGGTAGCTCGACACACATATACTGGTTTACATGAACCTTGTTCTAGTAATCAAGATGTACAGGAAGTATGTTGATGGTAGCTCGACACACATATACTGGTTTACATGAACCTTGTTCTAATAATCAAGATGTACAGGAAGTATGTTGATGGTAGCTCGACACACAAAGATCGGTTTACATGAACCTTGTTCTAATAATCATGATATACAGGAAGTATGTTGATGGTAGCTCGACACACAAATACTGGTTTACATAAACCTTGTTCTAATAATCATGATATACAGGAAGTATGTTGATGGTAGCTCGACACACTAATATCGGTTTTACATAAACCTTGTTCTAATAATCATGATATACAGGAAGTATGTTAATGGTAGCTCGACACACAAAGACTGGTTTACATAAACCTTGTTCTAATAATCATGATATACAGGAAGTATGTTGATGGTAGCTCGACACACTAATATCGGTTTACATAAACCCTGTTCTAATAATCATGATATACAGGAAGTATGTTGATGGTAGCTCGACACACAAAGACTGGTTTACATGAACCTTGTTCTAATAATCATGATATACAGGAAGTATGTTGATGGTAGCTCGACACACTAATATCGGTTTACATAAACCCTGTTCCAATAATCATGATATACAGGAAGTATGTTGATGGTAGCTCGACACACAAAGACTGGTTTACATGAACCTTGTTCTAATAATCATGATATACAGGAAGTATGTTGATGGTAGCTCGACACACATATACTGGTTTACATGAACCTTGTTCTAATAATCATGATATACAGGAAGTATGTTGATGGTAGCTCGACACACAAAGACTGGTTTACATGAACCTTGTTCTAATAATCATGATATACAGGAAGTATGTTGATGGTAGCTCGACACACAAAGACTGGTTTACATGAACCTTGTTCTAATAATCATGATATACAGGAAGTATGTTGATGGTAGCTCGACACACAAATACTGGTTTACATGAACCTTGTTCTAATAATCATGATATACAGGAAGTATGTTGATGGTAGCTCGACACACAAATACTGGTTTACATGAACCTTGTTCTAATAATCATGATATACAGGAAGTATGTTGATGGTAGCTCGACACACTAATACTGGTTTACATGAACCTTGTTCTAATAATCATGATATACAGGAAGTATGTTGCTGGTAGCTCGACACACTAAGACCGGTTTACATGAACCTCGTCCTGATAATCATGACATTCAGAAAGTATGTTGATGGTAGCACATACTGGTTTACATAAACCCTGTTCCGTTTACATGATGCACAAGAAGTAGGCTGGTGATACCGCGAGACACACCGAGGTACATCAACATTGTACTTTTCTATTTGACGTACGGGAAACATGCACACAGACACACTGATGTACATGAAAATGTTGACAACACGGGACAGACACACCGGTACATTAATATGAAGCGTCAATGAAAGAACATAACCAGTCTCGATTATCCACTAAAACATTCCATTGTAGCGTAAAAGGCTTTATAGGACTCAATTTATATGAACTTATTAACCTTGTTCCGTTCTACGAGACATACGAAAAGGTGAAACAGACATATGTTGTTTCAAAGAATATGCGTATTAGATGCACAGTGAAACACGTCCAAATATAGATGACACTTAATCCAACCTTTGCTCATCAACGTCCTGTATTCGAATTTCCCTATGATGGCAGTGTTGGAAACTATAAACAAGACTGGTGTTCCTCAACAACTATTGATAGAATACTGTTTTAGATGCGAAATCCAACAACCGCGTATATCTGCTTGGTAAATATGAACAGGTCAATAGTTTAATATTCTTAATTGATGCACTCAAGCTTTAGCCGGACATATTTACACAATAAGCGTGTATTCATACATGTACATAGTCGAAGTTTGATGGTGCTACTGAGGTATCTCATACTATTAGAATGCATATGTCGCCCAAAATATGCTATAGCTATTGAAATGAGTTTATCACTTTTATTGAGTAAATTTAAACTTGCTAGGATAACAAATTAACAGTAGCACCATATTTTGTGTCAGGGTTTTGTCACCAACAGTTTGAAACACCTTGAATATTAGTGCTACTTTATTGTACTTTCCTTCTTGAAGATATCAAAATAGCCATTAACACTTCATGCAGCCATTACGAAACCACAACACATTGCAAGGTAGCAAGGTGCATGCCTTCAAATCTCACGCTTCTCAAAATCCTGTTTGGTTAAAAAGCCTTTACAAGTAGGTATATTTAGAGTTCCGTGTTTATGTCACTTCCACTTTCAATAGTTACTAACACTGTGTGACGGCTGAACACTTCAATACGGTTCAACTGGTACATGACCATTACAACGCAATTATCCACTGATGCTGATGGGTTTACATCACGTACTTCCGGTTAATCAGCAGTGCCACCTGAAGAAGACTTCAAACACTATTCTACCATGAATTTGGGAAACACTCGATTCTGAATGTATCAAATCACAATGATTATTCAATGACTGAAAAATCTGATTTGACGACACGAGAAAACAAATATCTATAGAACATATACATATTTTTTAAATAATGACATGTATAATTCTAGTTTACAAAGTTTCGGTAGCTACAATATCCAGCATATCAGCAACACATGCTGGAAAGTGTAATTCAAATTTTGGGAGAAAATTGAGTTTGTAATTAGTCCAGTTTGTACCTGACTGGAACATGATACCCTTGCGTCACAATGAGCAGTATGACGTTATGAAAACGACTTCGCCAAACGTAACATTTGAAATCTCAGCTCACACAGATAACCTGGCACAACGTTGTAAGCCCAGTATAATCATCTCACAATCAGCATGATGGACAGCATAAGGAGCCTAAAGATGGAACGTGTAAGTGAGTTTTATTCTGTAGTAATTTGTACCGATTGATAGTCGTCCAGCCTGAAACTGACATTTAACGCGGGACCTCTCTGTGGCCAAGGACGTTTGAAGGTTACGTCATTAACGTCATACTTGTTATTCTACACAGAATGTCAGTTAGGGGTGTTTGGCGTTCCTTTTAATTTAACGTTCTTATTCATTTAAAATACAAGAACTATGATTTCGAACTATGATTAGATCCAAATCCCACTGTAGATCAGTGGCAACTTTTGTTCCAAGGTCCAATGCTTGAGCATTTCTATAATTGTGCATTTCACCTTCGTGTCGACCAATATTGCAAGGATATGTATCAGATACAGTCCTTAATCGGTGTCTATATCTCTCTATTGGTATTGAAAATAAGGGCATGTACATATGTTGCTGACAACTGAGTGTAGGAAGAACATTATGATGCAACGTATCGACCTAATGATTCCTAGGAGAAGATTAATAAAAATGTTCACAACAAATATATTATTTCGGGGGCAGGTTATTTGGTTGTTTAGGTTTGTTGTTTTTTTATTTTGTGTTTGTGTGCGTGTGTGTGTGTGTGTGTGTGTGTGTGTGTGTGTGTGTGTGTGTGTGTGTGTGTGTGTGTGTGTGTGTGTGTGTTGTGTGTGTGTGTGTGTGTGTGTGTTTTTTGTATTTGTGTGTGATTTTAACACAACAGAAATGTCAGTTTAACGCTATTAATAAATTTGGTCCTGGTAAACAAATACAACAAAGAAAGTGAACATTCACATTTCCCATCACATCCATTTAAAAAAAACCAAGAATCCCTTATCGAAGAACAACAAATACCAGTGTGGTCCTGATAACGACAGCTTCATATCTGTAGTGATTTGTTCGATTCGGGCCCATAGTACAGACAATTAATAAATAAGTGAGGACGACTAATCGATTCATTTATCAGGGAATCTTGAATGGTTGAGAAGAGCTTTGTCTTTGATAAACAGCCACTGACCTTTCTGTGCTACT